GAACCTTTGCACTTGAATTACTTGAACAGCAAGATGTAGTAGAATGAAACAGAATAAGATATAGAAACAGACCCTTCCATTAAAATGCAGCTGGCGTGTGCATCAGAGCCAGAGAGAGTGAAGCCTAGATCAACACATGAGCTGTGGGTATAGACAAGAAGAAAGTGTGTGATTGTGTGTGTGTGTTGGGGCGGGGATGAGAACACATTTAATGCATCTTAGAATCCTACATTCATTATTCCTGAACATTCACAACAACTCTAAAGGTGGGTAGGTATGATTAGATGGTATATCTCAAAAGAGCATCTGATGAAAGTTAAGGCAGTGGATACAAAGAAAGCAGCAGGTAAATTGGTCAGCAGGAAGCAAGGACCAGTTAACCTCTGATGGGCCCAGAGGATAGAACTACAAACTTCAGGGATGCATTAGCAAGAGTATGGCAGTGCCCACAACTTAAAGAGACAGATATACCAAAACATATTATAAATACTCTTAGAAACAGAAATATATAAAAGTTCATCAGGGGTGAGATTTTAGCCCAGCAGTAAAGGCACCACTTTGGACACCTGCATCCCTTGTTCCACCATCTGCACTTGAGTCTCAGCTCTGCTTCGAATTACAGCTTCCTGTTAATGTGCACCCTGTAAGGCAAGATGATGATTCAAATACTTAGGACCCTGCCACCCACTTGGACTATCCAGATTTAATTCCTGGCTCCAGGCTGTTGTGTGCATTTCAGGGACAGAACCAGTCGATAGAACTTTCTCTTTCTCACTCTCTTTCTCTGTCTCTCATTCCTTTCCTTTTTTTTTAAACGATTTTTTGACTTTTTTTATTTTTAACTTTTATTTAATGAATATAAATTTCCAAAGTACAGCTTATGGATTACAATGGCTTCCCCTCCATAACGTCCCTCCCACCCGCAACCCTCCCCTTTCCCACTCCCTCTCCCCTTCCATTCACATCAAGATTCATTTTCATTTCTCTTTATATACAGAAGATCAGTTTAGCATACATTAAGTAAAGATTTCAACAGTTTGCTCCCACACAGAAACATAAAGTGAAAAATACTGTTTGAGTACTAGTTATAGCATTAAATCTCAATGTACAGCACATTAAGGACAGAGATCCTACATGAAGAGTAAGTGCACAGTGACTCCTGTTGTTGATTTAACAAATTGACACTCTTGTTTATGGCCTCAGTAATCACCCTAGGCTCTTGTCATGAGCTGCCAATGCTATGGAAGCCCCCTGAGTTCACCGACTCTGATCATATTTAGACAAGGCCATAGTCAAAGTGGAAGTTCTCTCCTCCCTTCAGAGAAAGGTACCTCCTTCTTTGATGACCGGTTCTTTTCACTGGGATTTCACTCGCGGAGATCTTTCATTTAGTTGTTTTTTTTTTTTTTTTTTTTTCCAGAGTGTCTTGGCTTTCCATGCCTGAGATACTCTCATGGGCTTTTCAGCCAGATCCACATGCCTTAAGGGCTGATTCTGAGGCCAGAGTCTCACTTCCTTTCTAAGGAGATTTCCATCATTAAAATGTAGCTATGATTAGAATGTAAATGTATTTAGCTACTGACTAGAGATATATGATGGCCCTAGTTACACATTGCCTACAGAATTTACAGGTGAAATCCAAGGAAAAATAGCTGAGAAAGGAAAGTAATTCAAAGGTTGGAAACTTGATTTAGGAAATAATATTTTTATTTCCTTTCCTTTGGTTTTAATATTGGAAGGGAGGATCTGAAAAATCAGATACACCAGAATACATTTAATTTTTGCTTATTCTCTCTTAATTCACTAGCCAGACAAGGGCTACTATGATTGTCTCTACAATAGTAACAGGCATGAAAACCCACAGAAAGTTGTTATAGAAGATCAAAGAGTAAGAGGGAAAAGTCCGTCAACAGCAGCATCAACAGCAAGCTAGAGGCAGGTTTCAATGACAAACTCCTCTAATACCCTACCAGTTTCAGCTTGAGAGATGGCCAAGCTGATGATGATACCCAAAGGATTACACAGGATGTGTCAATAAGGACAAAGCCACAGGCTGTAGGTTTTGGCTCTTAAGAAGTTCTGGAGACTTAAAAAGAGAAAAGCAGATGTTTATCATCAGATTATGACGTCACTCAAGAAGACTCTAAATGTTAACAGATTCCTTTTATAAGAGAAAGATCTCTATGGGAAATTTTCCTGACCTGAAATGTGTCCAAAGAATGAATCAATCACCCACAAACGCTGCCATCTTAACTTCAGGCGGACAGTTTGATCTGGGTCTCAGTTTGTAAATGTTGTAACACTACACTCAGAAAGTTAGCAGAGCTTTATCAAGATCTTTACAAAAGACTTTGAACAGTTTGACACTCCAGTTTGTCAATGGTGCATTATTATTCCTGAGCTTTTAGATGCTGACTTGGAATACTAACCTGGCTCTGGCAAGCCCTTTTCATTAGGACACTCAGAAGGGCAACCTAACTAACAGTGTGTTTTTGAGGGAAAGGGGATGTTGACTGTGGGCTCCACCCTTTACAAAGAAGTCTTGTCCTCTCAGTTATATTAGCTTGTCAAATTCCATTCTACCTCTCCCATACTGTAAAAAAACATCTCTTCAAAGTTCACACTTGTGGAGATTGGGAGGAATAGAAAGCCAATATCTACGGATGGGGGTTAGCCAGTTTTAAGTGAATGAACGTTGTGTCTCTAAGTAGACAGAGTTTGATACTTCAGTGGTTGAAGAAGGAAAAATGGCAAAAAAAATAAATAAATAGACATGTTCATAAGATCCTTTGTTCCACAGTATTTCGGTCCTCCCCACAATTCATAGACCACTTCCTTTCTTCCCTCTAGTTTCTTGTTAGCACTTAACCAGTATCTTACACACTATATATTTTACTTACTCTGTATCCACAAAAGCCAAGAGTCCATCTGTTTTGGAAGTTATGGTATTCCCAGTGCCTGGACGACTTGTCCAGCACATAATAGGTATTCAATAATATTTGCTGAATGAATGAATAACTAAAGATTTCCCTCCCCATATATTCAGCCTAGTTTGTCCTTAAGATTTAAATGAATCAACTGAGATAAGTTCTCCAAAACCCTACTCTTTCCCTCCCAGGGTTGAAAGCTTCTGGACTGGAGAGTGACTCCATTTGGAAGAAAGCAATTTGAAGGAATATGAAGGTGCTAAAGAGTGGGAACAGCATGTGGCTTAGAGAAAAGAGCAATAGGAGAATTCACTCATGTTTTGGAATTTTAAGAAGTCAAGTTAATATCCAAGAAAGAGTATCAGACCAAAAAAAATTAATTGTTACATTTCCATAACTTTATCATGCCTGTGAGTTCTTCTGTACCTATCTACTTTTAGTGCAATAAATCCTCAAACAGATGAACTAAAATGGTCAATGGCAGCTAAGAAATAGTAAATTGTGGAACTATGGCCTGAACACAAGGAAGAGTCTTAACAATGGAGAGAAATAAAGGACTTTTGAAAGGAAACAAGGAAGAAAAGCACACAGGTACACTGGAGCCTCAGAAGGAAGACAGTAGCAGCACCTGAGGAATAACAATTTCCCAGATGTGAACATAGATGATGACAGCACAGAGAGAGGGCAGGCATTCAGATTCTCTATGAAAGCGACAATAGAACATAGCAACTCTGACAAGAAAAGTGACACTACCACCGTCTCTTCTTTCTCCATCATCTCCCAGAACAAGAAGTTGCTTAATTCTGCTGAGTTTTGCACTTTAATGATGTTCTCAAGCACATTTTTTTTTCCTTAACCGTCTGGTCACCATACTAGGCAAGCCCTCATTGGCTTCCCACAGTAACAGATGTCAGTGTACCTCTCATATGAAAACAGGTTACCTCCATCCAATCTATCTTTCCGTAATCTCCAGGGCAAACTGGACCATTCTACTGTCCCTTGTAAAGCCCGTTAGAGGCTCCTCTTCAGCCCTCCTGAATGATGTTCATTCAAGTTATAATTGCAAAGCACCCTCTAATGATAAGCCTAAGAGTTAAAATGTGAATAAGGTTTAAATGTGAACACAACTATAGAGAGGGTATTTATCTTGTTCTTAGCTGACTCCTCCAAATAGCATAGTGCCTATCCATCACAAATACTTAATATTTCTGTTTCACAAGGAAATAAAAGTAGAAAAACTCATGATACAAAACTGTATGAATATTGCAATTCTAATAATATAAAACATTTATAGGCAAGTAGATAACATCAAGAAAACATGATAAAACTTATCTTATTTATCCTTTGTTATCTTCAAAATACCATGAGTATATTTTTCTCTGATACTAAGGTATAAAAATAGAAGCAAACAAAAAGAGGAGAAAAAAAAAAAAAAAAAAACATGCACCTAGCAAATAAGACAGTTGCACAAGGCTTAATGGAAACTTTGATTCCCTAATCTTGTTACATGGAATCCTTCATCTTCCAGCCCTGCCTCTGCCCCCATCTCCTTCTACTTTTCTGCTGTTCCACATCTGCACTACTCTCTCACCTCACTATTTCATTAATCCCAATTTGGTATTTCTATGTTCTGATCATGTATTATTTTAAAGGACAAAGCACAATGCATGATGTACAGGTCACTATATTAAATGTTAATGGTGTAAATTTATAAATAAAGCAATAACATTGAATGTGAGGCTTACTTCTTTCATATACTATAAAATCATCTTTAATAGGTTTGTTGTGAGTACTAAATGATGAAGTACCCCAAAAGTGAACAGTTATTAAGTATTATCAGTGTGACCAAGAGCAAATTGCTTTGCTTCCTTAGCCAGAATCATCTTAAATTGTGGACAATAATTCCTGCCTTGCACACTCATTGCTTTGAGATGAGAAAAAACCCAAAGCAGTTTGGAAACAATAAATCACAAGGCAAACACATATTATTATCATGATGTGGATGACAATGATTATGTGCCCTTTTCTTGTGAATCATCACTATAATAAGCTTACCCTTTAATGTCTTATTACCTTTGCTGATGTTTCAAACCATCCTACGAAACCATGCTCCTTGCAGAATTGGTCCATCTTGAGGCCATTGTTCATGAGCACATCCTTCGCCTGATCACATTTATTGGCCAACAAAACCACTGAAACTGGTTTGCCATTAGGGAGAGTTAACTTTGAGTCCAAATCATTTTTCCACTTTGCCACTGCTTCAAATGTGGCTGGTCTGGTGACATCAAAAACAATAAATGCACCCATAGCTTCTCGGTAGTAGACCCTGGTCATATTTCCAAATCTCTCTTGACCTGTTAATAAAAAGAAATAGAAATAAAAAAACTTAGCATAATTGTAGACTGATTCATATATTGGAACTTCATAATGTCTCCAGTATGAGCAGGTCATTCAGTAAAGTGTTTCGTTGGTAGTCTTTAAAGAATTAGTTAAGGGGAAGGACTTTTGGCATGGTAAGTTAAGCCTCTGCAACCCATTTTGGAGTGCTGATTGAAGTCCTGGCTCCTCTGCTTCCAATCAGTTTCCTGCTAGCGCATTCTGGGAGACAGCTGATGATGGCTCAGGTACTTGAGTTCCTGCCACCCACGTGGCCAGAAGAAACTGGGAATTCCTGGCTTTGGCTTGACCCAGCCCTAGCTGTTGCTGGCATCTGGGAAATGAACCAAAGGATGGAAGAACTCTCTTTCTCTCTCACTTTCTGTCACTGTACCTTTCAAGCAGATAAAAGTAAAATAAGAAACAAGCATTTAAAGGGTAAAAAATTGTAAAACATAAACAATCAGACAAATACATATCTTTGAGTACAGAAGGGAATTCATTTGTTTAAAAAACATGTATTGAGAACTTTCAGTGTTCCATGTAATGTTTTAGAACTGTGCTAAAACAATAGCCCACGAGCCATGTGCGTATATTTAAATTTAATTAAGTTCAACTAAATAAAATGTAGAATTCCTCCTTCATATTACTTAGCTATGCTTGAAATGTTCAGCAATCACATGTGAGTATTATATAAGGTGATACCAAAATAGAGCATTTCCATCATCACAAATGTTCTATTGGGCAACACTGATCCAAACACTTGAAGTTCAATCATTAAAACATGAAAATCTTTATCTCCATGGAGCTTCCATTTTAGCAGAAAAAGTGATTATAAATAATAAATATAATATCTAAATATACACTATGTTAAAAAGGCATCCACAGTCTTCTCCAGTGAAAGGCAATAATAGCTAGCATTCATTGTATATTTACCAACCATCAGAACTGTAATTTCTATAAATGATCATCAAGCTACAACTACAATCCCCATTTTAAAATGAGGAAATTGATACTTAGAGAGGCTAAGTAACTTCCTCAAATTATATATTGAAAAATCATACATCAAACCTGAACTATTTGAATCCAGAATCCACCATCATTTATCAATGTCAAATATTCTCAACTACTAAACTATAGTTTTGTACTATTTCTTTCCAGGTTTCTGTATCAAGAGCCTCCCATTCAATAAGGTTGAACAGATATTTCACATCTACTATATTGATTCCTGACTCTAGGCTACAGGCTTGGAATGCAGCAGGGGAGGCAGGCGTTTTGTTGAGGCAGGTTAAGCTGCCTCTTGGGTTGCCCACATCCCAAATCAGAGTGCCAATTTGAGTCCTTACTGCTACACTTCCGATCCTGCTTCTTGGAATGAAACGTGGGAGGCAGCGGATGATGGCCCATGTGCTTGCACACTGACTCCCACATGGAAGACCTGATGGAGTACTGAGCTCCTGGTTTCAGTCTGGTCCAGCACTGGCTAGTGTATGCACTTGGGGAATGAACCAGTGAATGGAAGATCTCTCTGTCTCTGTCTCTCTCTTTTCCTCTCTCTCTCAGTCTCTCTCTTGCTCTCATTCTTACTGCTACTTTGCCTTTCAAGTAGATAAAAATAAACTTCAAAAAAACCCCTCATTATCTAATCGATAAATATGTACTAAATTAGTCATCCAATGTCAAAGGAAACTTTTTAATAATATTTTTATTTTGGGGGCAGGTACTGTTGTGTAGTAGGTAAAGCCACAGTCTGCAGCACCAGCATCCCATATGGACACCAGTTCCAGTCTCCATTGCTCCACTTCCGATCCAGCTCCCTGCTAATGTGCCTGGGAAAGTGAACAGAGGATTGCCCAAGTCCTTGGGCTCCTGCACCCTCTTGGGAGAACCAAAAGAAGCTCCTAGTTCCTGGCTTTGGATCAGCCAGCTCTGGCCATTGCAGCCATTTGTGAAGTGAACCAGCAGATGGAAGATCGCTCTCTCTTTCTCTCTCTCTCTGCCACTCTCTCTCTCTCTGTAATTCTGACTTTCAAATAAATAAACAAATGGCTTATTAAAAATACTTTAATTTTTAATGATAAATCATCAGGTTTTTATACTTCCCCCTTTGTTCAGCAGTTCTTTTTAATTAATTAATTTTTTTGAAAGGCAGAGTTACAGAGAGAGGGAGACAGAGAGAAGTATCTTCCATCTGCTGATTCACTCCTCCCCAAATGGCCAAAACAACCATGGATGGGCCAGGCTAACGCCAGGAGCCAGGAGCTTCTTCTGGGCCTCCCATACAGGTACAGGGGCCCAAGCACTTGGGGCATCTTCCAGTGCTTTCCCTGGTGTTTCTTTGCCAGCAGAGGCTTAATACACTACATCACAATGTAAAAAGTGTTAAAAAATGAAAGAAAATATGATGTAGGTTATGAAATCTGACTTCAAGATAAGACTTTATGACAAACACACACACCAAATATAGTTCTTCCAGCTTAGCAACCAAAATGAAGAAAATCATACTACTTCTGCCTACCTGTAATTGCTTGAAGAAGGGAACTAGTGAGCACTGAGTTCACAGCTTCTGGACCCTACACCCAGAAGTATGTGACCAGACAAAGGCATTTATTCTGAGAAATTTTTTTCTGTAAAAAGTCTTATAAATTATGTAAATGAAAACAAACTTATGTGTGTGTTTAAAAGTTAGCTTCTCTGGGGCCCACGCTGTGGCGTAGTGAGTAAAGCCATCGCCTGCAGTGCCAGCATCCCATATGGGCGCTGGTTTGAGTTGTGGCTGCTCCACTTCCAATCCAGCTCTCTGCTATGGCCTGGGAAAGCAGAAGAAGATGGTCCAAGTCCTTGGGTCCCTGTACCCATGTGGGAGACCCAGAAGAAGCTCCTGGCTCCTGGATTAGGATTGGCCCAGCTCTGGCCATTGAGGCCAATTGGGAAGTGAACCAGCGGGTGGAAGACCTTTGTCTCTCTCTTTCTCTTTTTTTCTCTCTCTCTCTGCCTCTCCTTCTCTCTGTGTGTAACTCTGACTTTCAAATAAATAAATAAATCTTTAAAAAAAGTTAACTTCTCATAAAAACTACAATGCTAAAACTGAGGTGTATCTAAGAAAATATTCATCAACATACTTTACACTAAGAATACTTTACATTAGTTTTGATGATGCATTTTATTTCAAATTAACAAATTATTTGATAAATTAAGTTCACATTGCATTAGTATTGAGATTGGAAAGGAGAGGATTCCTAAGCACTTAATGAAAGTAGATGAAGGTCAATGACTTTGGTTCTCATGAGTGAGCCTGTGTGCTCAAGCAAGTACTAGTGGGGGAAAAAAAAAGCATTTTTATCAGGGCTAGCACATGACAATCCTAAAATATTTCTTACAGGGGTTGTGTTATGGAGTATTTTTTTTTAATTTCCCACAGTCATTCAGTCAATGAAAGAAATGGGTAAAATACTCTTCATATGACACACAACCCACAGATGAACTTTCATATTTCCCAAATGAGTTTTTAATGTTCATTTCTCTTTCAATTCTTGATGCAAACAGTGACCTCCTTTGATGCTGCTCAGGGTGGCCATGACGCTTGAGGAAGATAGGGGAGAAAAGCTCTCTGTGATCATTAGGAACTCCAAAGGCCTCTAGGCTTTTTAAGGATGTCTTATGATTTCTTTCAGGGATCTAATCAGATGAAGAGTAAAGTCATGGGTTATTCAGTAATCTGCTTGTCCAGGGCTTTTAATCATAGAGTAAGGAAGCCCTCTAGAATAAAGATTTTGCATTTCAAAAATATGATAAAGGGTTACCTTAAGACTATGCAAAAAGGCCTACAGGGATACAAAAAATAAAATTGTGTGTGTGTGCGTGTGTGTGTGTGCGTGTGTGTGTTTGAGTCTGGGTGTGTCAGATCAGAGTCAAGAAGATAGCTTATTTCTAGAAAGAAAAGACTTTTGTATATTGAGGTCACTGGGCCAGCCCACTTGGAAAGTTTATCTTTTTGGCATTCCAGCAAGGGGTCACATTCAGATCAGGGCATTTCTAGCACTCACATTTTATCCTTCCTTTGTCAGATGACGGCCTCTCTGCTGTTTCTTATTAAAAGAATGAGAACCATGTGATTCCTGGTGAGTGCCTACTTAGGGGCATAGTAGAGACCTGATGAATTTCTCATTAAAAAAATTGAAATATTACTATTCAAAAACTTCCTTTGGCCTGGGAAGACTCATTCAACACACATTTACTGAATAGCTAATGTGGTCCAGGATATGGGCCACGTGCAGCTCATGCATAGTTCCGTGGAGTGTTTTTTCGCCCATGAGGCACGTCTAAATTAAGGAGTGTTATAATGGAAGCTGACACTGAAAATGATCTAATTCATAATGTAGGCTCCCACTTCTCTTAATCTCTAAATACACACTTAATAGCAGTATAGATATGGCTCACGATTCATTTCCAGTTTTGAAAGGCATTAAAGATATCAACTCAGTCACAATGGTTAATACAATTGCTTCAGTAACAATTTGGATAGCCTCATGACAAAAAGGAATTGACTTGAGAGTGAGAAACATACAAGCCTTAGTTTTAATCAGCAGCTATCAGAACACACTTAGACACATGTATTTCTCTCCCTAAGACTTGGTTTTGTTATCTGTCAAGTGAAGTTTGTGTGGCAGATCTCTATGGCCCCTTCCTGCTGTTATGCCTTAGATGAAATCAAGCCATACTCCACCCCAGTCCCAATAGCCTGTAATGGCTCATTTGGTGTCATAGTCTTAGCTAAAAATACACACAAGCTTCACAGTCATAATGGGTATTTAAAGATATTTTCACTTTGTAATTAGTACCATATAGAGGCTCTCAGTAGGCATAATCAAGCAGTGAATCTTTTAGACAGAAATAAAACCAACAACAGGAAGAGTGATAGGTTTTCTATTAAGCTGAGCACACTCTTACTGCTTTGCTCCTAACCAACTGCCTCTGT